TCTGTGCCTCTCAAGTACCTAAGCCAATGGGGAAAGAGAGAGGGAAATGCGGCCGGGAAAATAGGATAAAAAGGAGGTTGCGTCCCCCAAAAATTTGAGAGATCCCAGGGGAATGTCCCATGGCCTCTCCCTTTATTCGAATAAAGCAAAAAGGACTCCTCTGTCTCCTTTTTGGACATAAACCTCTGGTATTTGTGGATTAATTTTCCTGACATTGTCTCAGGCATGACAACCACTGAAGAGGCAGAACAGAAAACTAGGAGAGAAGATGTACCATCTTTACTACCCAGTCTTAATCCTCTCTTTCATCTCTGCCAGAGCTACAAGGGAACAGATGCAATGCATTTCAGAAGCTCCTAGTGCTCTCACTGTTTGCAGTACCTCTCTTGAAGCATCTTCTACCCGCACACAGCAGCCTGCAGAGCAGAGTATGTGCACTCACTTTAACTACTCCAGGATGAAGTCTGGCAACTCAATAGCACTTCCCAAGCTGCTGCCCAAGTGGCTACAGTACCCCCATGAAGGTGTTCTGGGATTCTGTTTGCCAAGTGCCTAAGCCCATAGAACATTTATAAATCACACCTTATATGTTATATTTAATCAACATGAACTGCTTTTCCATGCTGTTACCTCAGTCCAGAATCCTTAGTGGAAGAACAAAAAACAGGCCAGTGACTTTGCCTGCTGTCAGTGGCTTCAAACCAGATCCATGGCCCACTGCTTTTTACAGCACTCCTTTAGTCTATTTTTAAGAGCAACTTGAGAAATAAAAGCTATTTAAAACAAGCAGCATGAAGAGAAGTATCATTTGCTTCACATGATTATTATGTGCATAGTAATGGCAGGAAGAATACTACAAATGTTTTCCAACTCTTAAAAAAAATAAGAACACTTCCTTTGCAATATATAATTTTGAATTTTAATTTAGATAACTCAGACTTATTTACTGGCAACATAAATATCCATATTCATGACATCTGATTTATCATAATCTTTATTTCTGATATGCTGCATCTGTGAATATTTGAAGTACTTGAGTTTGCATTCATGGGCAATTATATATGGGAATGTCATCGAATAGCAACAGATTGAAGAGTTTGTAGCACTGAAAGATAATTCATTTTCTCTCAGATGGGCTGTGGCATGACACCTGGGATTGATGCTTCCACTCTCATTTTTTTAACAAATTACTTTTTCCTGTCTAATAAGGCACTCAAATTGTTAGGAACAAGCTCCTGTTTGTTCTGTTAATGTTCTGTTAACTGTGGAAAACACCCTGTTTTTATGTTAATTGTTGCTGTTCTTCTGTTCTAAATCCCACTCCCTGGAATTGTCTTGTCATTATGCCCTTTCCCTCCCCATCGGGTAATGCCTTTGCTGTTCCCAAAATGATGCCTGGCAAATAAGAAGACCGCAAGTGCTTATGGAACACAACTCAGTAATAAAAAAAACCCTAAAAACAACGAGCCAATATAACATCGAAAACTAAAAATGGTACTCCCAAGTAAGAAAAGCAGTGAAGAAGATGAAATCACCAACCAGGACTCTCCTGCCTTGTTGCCATGACCTGAACAGCACCCGATCGACATGACACCCCTGGACTACGAGCCAAGTGGGGTCTTCTGCGGGACTCCTGTGAGGACAGAAGGCCCAGCTCTGCTGCACAGCAAAGCTGAATTCCTCCTCGTCTGGATCGTCCATCGGGAGCAGCGGTGGTGCACGTGATCCATCGGGCTCCCACCCAGAGCTGATTTCTCAATAAAGGCATTAAACGGGAGCTGGTCTCCTTGCCCTTATTCATTTCAAAATCGAGGACATTATAATAAGGGTCAAGCCATTGCCTTTTAGATGCATTCTCTCAAACAGTAGTTTGCAAAGGTCGGAGGAAGGAAGGGAAATGGACAACAAGTAGAAACGCAGATTTGATGCACATGTTTTAGAGGGGAAAGAGGCCCAGACATGGTATTTGGTCATTTCACATTCAAGGACTCCCTCATGCTGACTTCCACTGAGCCTTCCAGATACCCAAGCTCTTGCAATGAAAACCACGTTTTTCTTAAAAATCTCTGCATCTCAAACTTTATTTCCTTCTAGTCTTGCCTGCTGGAAGTTTTTCTGAAGTATAAAGATTCTCCCAATAAAACAAATTTTAATTAATTTCCAGAAATGTAATGATAAATTATAAGAAGAATTAAACAAACCCACAATAAATCCGCGGTAAGTACAAAAGGAGAAAGTAGTTTGAATGTCGCTTTTGATGCATATATTGAGTAAATAAGGTGATAAAGCTCATGGATGAATAAAACAGTCCCTCTTTTACGGTTTCAAAGGAAGAAGCACAACTGCAGAGGCTTCCCAAAGAGCTGCTGTCTCACCATCCTCTCTTTGAGTGACAACAGGGCAATGAATATTGGTAAGGACAGCCATTAACACAGGGAGGATGTGCCAAGTGCTTTTAACAGCGAATTGCAATCACTGAATTCAAAGCAACTCTAGCTGTTGCTTTGGTGAGCTCTCACTCTGGTGAAAACAAAGGCAATGTCCTTGCCAGTAGTTAGCCAGTGCTTCTAAACTGTTAAAACCCCACATATATGAACACATTTTGCTAAGGTATTTTTATACCTTATATCAGATCTTCATTAACATCATTACGCCAAGGCATACAGGGATAATGAGTACAACTAGTTTCCCATAGTTATAAAACAAAGACCTACCTCTGGGAGCAAATCCAGCCCACTGCTCATTTCAGGCAGAGGGGATCAGAATTTATTCACACCAATCATAGTTGTCCCACCACTTAAAGTACAACTCAACCTTCCTCTATTTCAAAGGAAGGCATAAAGCCCTTGAGAAGCAAAATTTACAGCAAGTGCAAAACAAACATGCTCAAAAGCAGAATATGTAGAGACAAAAATCCCACTCTCAGACATAGGATGACTTGGCTTGTGTATTCAGATGTCGGCTATCAATAGAGCTAGCAAAAAGTGGTACCAAAAACGCTGGCTAAAAAGCTAAATAAATAATTCAACCTTTCTTTCAAGAAGATTTCTAAACATCAAACAAACTGATAGACTTCACTGAAAAAAAAGTATTCTTCTCAGGATAATTATCACCTAAGCTTTATTGCAAACTTAGTCTTCCCAAGATAATTTCTAAAAAGCATAAAATCCACCTGGATTTGAACTCTTTCATGCCCTCCTGAGATGCAGAGTACTTCCTCCCATCAGCAAGTTGTGTATATGTTCAATATCTCCATCAGTACTGATAAAACCAGCTTAGAGCTATGTATCACTTTATGTATTAGTGACATACCAAGATGTATTTTCTTTGACGAGGGAAAGAGATCTGCCTTACTAAAAACCTTGCTTTTCAGAAAAGGTTCATTCACTCCTCAAGAGAATATTAAGCCTTTCAAGCAATTCACAGTAACCTTCACAAAACATCTTGAAAATTTTAGGCTTAACTCGAAATAATACCTCAACACTTTTAAGAAAAAACCTAAGTACCTTGAACCCATTTGAAATACCATTGTAACGGTCTGCAAAATGGATTCTGCAGCCATTGTTCAGTCTTTTTAAGGAACTGGAAATCACTCTGGATAAAGTAGCACATGCTGGAACATTTATTAAATAAATAAATGCCTTGGGCCTCAAGTATACCCAAAACAATACATACTGTATGCAATTCCCTTTACTTGCCTGAACTAGAGTCTGTTCAGGAGTGGAATATTTTCAGCTCCTGAAGTTTTCAATACTGGTTTGAGTGTTGGATATATCATGGAATGATCTTTTTCTGCACTCCTGGGCTATATGTGGATGAAATAATTTCTGTTGCACATCCTGGCCAGAATAAACCAATGCCTTGATTCTCTAACACTAGGACTTAAAGGGAGTTTTTTCCCTGCAGGTTCGGTGACAATCTCACCTTCCATGAATGTATCAAAATACAGGAGGGGTTGGAAAGAGTTAAAGACATGAACCCTTTAATGTCTTGTACCTGAGAGATTCCAGCCGTGCTGGAGGTGAGAGCAGTAAAGCACCAAATCCCGTGCTGGAGGTGAGAGCAGTAAAGCACCAAATCCCGCCAACCTTCAGCCCTGGGGGACAGCATCTGCCCAGCCCTGGAAACCCAGCCAGGAGCCATCGCAAGGGTTTAGAAGCCGTTTATACTTTAAAAGCCACTTGTACCAGGGCTGAGTGCACGCTCGGGGAGCTCGCAGCGCCCCACCGAGCTACTACAGCGGCCTGGGGCTGCAGCGGCGGGGCAGGGCCTTATCCCGGCGTCCGGGCCTCGCGCTCGAGGCGGAAGGCGGCCGGGCCAGCCCCTCACGTGCCGCCGCTCCTGCCGAGGGGCGATGGGCGCGCGGGCGCGCGCCCGGCGCAGGCGGGGCGGGACGGGCTGGTGGGGGCGGGGCCTTGTGCAGCGGGGCCGCCAGAAGGCGCCACTGCGCGGGCAGGGGCGGCGGTGGTTCGCAGGTTCGGGGTGCCCGCCCGTGCGCGGGGCCGGACAGTGCTCGGCCCGTGGCCGGTCCTGACTGCCCGGCCCCACGCCGGACATTCCGGCCCCTCCCCTCCCGGGCAGCGAACGAGGCTGCATAGACACGGTAAGGGCGCTCGGCCGGCTCCCTTCTCCCCAGCTGCACGTTTGGCGTCCCCGTGCCGCGACCGTCCCTTCCCTTCTCATCCCTTCCGTGGAGTGGGCGTTGTCCTTCTGTCTCTCCATCCCCCGGCGGAACGCGCGGGTCGCTCGTCCGCCGGCAGAGCCCCGCGGCAGCGAGGGGCAGGCCCGGGCACGTCCCAGGAGGCGCCGTGTGAGCGGACCCACCGTGCTCCGCGCACTCCTGGGCTGCGGGGCCGGGGGTACCCCAGAGGCGTTTCGGCGCCCAGGACTCTCCGTGCATCTGCCCGGACTGCTGCATCTTGGACGTAGAGTCTGCAAGGTTTTTGGTGAATTTGCCGCGTTTTAACTGTTTTATTGGCTGGTAATGTTTCTCGTGGCAGATGATCGATACCCTGGAGAGCGGCGGGGCTCAGGACCTGCTGCTCGAGCTCCCCGCAATGTTGGAGCAGGAGCTGCGGGCTCAGCCCCGGGCCGCCGGCCTCAGGCTGCTCGAGGCTGCCCACGACAACGGCCTGCGAATGACCGCACGGCTGCGAGACTTCGAAGTGAAAGATCTCCTCAGCTTAACTCAGTTCTTTGGCTTCCACACTGAGACGTTCTCAATAGCTGTGAATTTCTTAGATAGATTCTTGTCAAAAATGAAGGTAAGGCTTTTTGAAGTATAAGCTGTCAGCCTAGTTCCTATTCGAAGCTAGAATGTCTTGGGTTTAAATAAAGGTTAAGCTACTTCCAGAGATTTTTGATTGCACAGAGATAAAAAATGGTGTTCTCCGTTCAGATTTTGGTATTGTTAAGAAAGGTGTTTTCCTCTGAAGGTTGAAAAACTGAAGGATGCCCATGGGCTGGGAAACAGGGCGTGTTAATAGCTTAGACCAAGACAGACTGCCTGTCCTGTTGCATAGATACAAGAACATCTTACATTATTTCTCTCTTTACTCCCCTTTAAACCTATCAATAAGCCTTGTGTATAGCAAGATGCTGTTGAACACTTAAAATCTGGTCAAACATTAGTTAGTACAGCATTCTCCCATGAAGATGTAACATGCTGACCTGGGTTATTTTTAATTGTCTAACAGTTAAAGACAAGACAGCATTACCACTGTACGATTTGGACAAGAACAAAAGCTTGTTTTCCTTGTGTGTTCAAACAAAAATGAGAAAGCTAGATGGAATGGATGGGAAAATGATGATTTCACAGACTTGTGAATCCAGAATAAGCAGTAAAAATGGGGACTGCAGTGTTTATGGAATAAAATAAGACACTTTATATATACATGTCCATATATATGTGTGTATATATGCTTAAAATAGAGTTAGAAACCCCCAATTTTTTACTATCACCCAATATGTATAACACTTTAAATCCTAAAAGCTGTCAATTAGGTCATCTTAGAACCCTATTAACAAGCCAGTTCTACCTCAATTAAAATTGCTCTGCAGTCTTGCTTTTTAGATGAATGACATACAATTTACAGTGCATAACTCTTTCTTGTTTCGTTAAAGGTAAGAATGTTTGACAAAAGACTTAGTTTTCAATCTCCAGAAAGCAAAACAACCCCTTGTCCCCTATAATTTTTTTTATTAAATAGATCAGAGCCTACAGTTTGGTACTTGCATGTTGTAATAGCTGATCAGAGGCCTTCTTTGAAAATAACAATTCACTTTTCTTTAGGTACAGCCTAAACACTTGGGCTGTGTTGGACTCAGCTGCTTCTACTTGGCTGTGAAGGCATCAGAAGAAGAGAGAAATGTGCCCTTAGCCACTGACTTAATTCGAATAAGCCAGTATAGGTTCACTGTTTCTGATATGATGAGAATGGAGAAAATCATATTGGAGAAATTGTGTTGGAAAGTCAAAGCTATAACAGCCTTCCAATTTCTACAGCTCTATCATTCATTCATTCATGAGAATTTAAGCTGTGAAAGGTACAATAGCTAATCCTGATTTTGCTATAACTGCCTATGATCAGAGAATGTAGAATATAGAAAAATAAGCAGGGAAATTGCTTGAGTAATTGGCCTTTCTATACTTTAAGAATGCCACAAACTTTCCCCCTTACTGGTAATTGTCATAAATGTGAGCATCTGTGGTTTAATATTATTGTAATTTTAAATACTGTTTGCATAAATGGAGCATTGCTCTCGAGCCGAAAATCAAACTTGCACAATAGTAATGGTATAATAAATCTCTGCTTCTGCTGCAGTGAAGTATTGCCTCATTGTAAAGATTGCAAAATCTGTTTTAAAAAATACTCCTTTTGCTAGTAAGCACTGAAATTCCTTGTTAAGCCTGCTTTGGTAATGCAGCTCTTCCCCAGTGTAACACAAGATTTATTTTTGGCATTGAGACTGCCAAAACTGAACACCTGTTTGAATGTAATCTTGGGACAAATGAGGCTTTTATTTAGATAATGAACATTCTTGCTGCTTCTCTGAGTTCCCAGAGTGATGCTGCCTTGATCAAGCTTGCATTCCTCTAGATTCACTCATCTGTTTTTGTTACAGGAGAAAATACCTTAATTTTGATAGACTTGAGACCCAGCTTAAGGCCTGTCACTGCAGACTCGTGTTTTCTAAAGCCAAGGTAAACATCTTGAAAATTGAAAAGAAAATTAAACTGCTGAAACTTAACAAAGCAGTGTTTAAAAACATCTTCTCTCTTTCCAGCCTTCTGTCTTGGCACTGTCTGTTTTGGCACTAGAGATAGAAGAACAAAAACTGCTGGAGTTAATGGAGGCATTGGAATTTCTACAGTTACATTCCAAGGTATGTGCAGATAAAATTTCAGGGGAGGGTGGAAGAAAAATGCATGAAAAGGTCTACACAGTGGGAAAGGGACAGGTGCATTGGCATATTGGTTTCTTTTGTGGCTTTCTTGTGATGTTTTGTTGAGTTTTTTTCATTTGGCCTGGGATATTTGTGTTGAAGAAGCTGAAAGTACATGTACAAAGTAAAGATTTAACTAGTTATTAGCATAGGACATTTTGTCTTGTCATGTAGATAAGCAACAGAGAATTGACCTTCTGGAAGGAGCTAGTGTTAAAGTGCCTTATGGAATATTCCTCAAGCAAATGTTCCAAACCAAATGTGCAGAAATTAAAATGGATTGTGTCTGGACGTACAGCTCGGCAGCTTAAACATAGCTACTACAGAATAACACACCTTCCTACCATTCCAGAGACCATGTCATAATAGGTAAGTCCTTGTAAAATTAACTTCTGACCTTTTAAAATCAACTTCTGATAATATAGAAGTAAAATTGGCTGTTAACTACCTCCAGGGTCCTTATAGGTTACCTCCTGGAATCAAGTAACAGAAGTGCAGTCAGCCTGTTCTCCTGTTCATGCTTAAGTCAGTGCTGTACCTGAAGAAGTGACAACCTGATTAATGTATGAACACTGGAGAAGGAACTGATGTGTGTTGTGGTAGCAGAAAGTTTCTACAGACATTGGGACTGCATTTACACTAAAATACCGAGTAAAGCTTGGAAAAGGGGGAAAAAAAACCGTTGCATTTCTCTTATCTCAAAAAGAAAACCAGTCTGTTAGAATGAGTTTCTTGTAATTGTTCCCTTAAGCCACTTACAAGTAAGACAGTTTTATACAGTTTTACTTGTATAACTGCTTAGTGAAGACTAAAATCTGTAATTCAGTTCTTCCTGCTACTGTTGGTTTTCCCTGTAAAAATGGTGAACTTCTTCCTTACCTAGACTTTACTTCCAGAGGCTACACATTTTTCTGTAACAGCTGTCTTGCTGTTGTCTTGTTGTATTAGGATCTCATGCTTTGTTTGGCTCTTGTAGAAAGCACTTCTATTGACTGGTTTGTTTGGGTTTTTTTACAGGAGTGCAGTAAAATGAGAAGACCATCAATCAGCACACTAATGTTTGAGAAACAGTCTGAACCATGATCTTAATAATTAAGAACTCGGCTCATGGAAATAATACGTAACATTTCAGACTAAAGATCCTTCCAGCAAATACCAGTTCTTTTCATGATGAATTCAACAGTACATGGTGTCAGTACTTGGTAGACTGTTTACTAGTCAATGAAATAACACAATTCCAATACAAGGAATTTTAACATCTTATAGTTTGTAGAGCAGCTTGTGTAATCTAACCTTGGTTTAGAGTAACTGTAGGTGCTGAATTAGATATTAATTTTTAAAACCCGGATAATTTTCTGAGGATTATGGAATACCAGGAAAATCTGATTTGCAGTAGTGTAGTGCTGCAGTGTATTAAGAAAAGAAAGACTAAGCCCACTCAATATTGATGACAACAGCAAATGTCTGCCAGCTCATCTGGTGTGCTGTTTGGGCAATTCCTTGTGTCCACATGTTCCTGCCAGGATGGGCACTGGCCTCCTACCACAGACACATTAAACATTAGCCTGTGTGATACCCGCTGAACATGTTGAGTTGGTAGAAAGTTAACTGTATTCCTTTAGGAAAGACAGTCACTAGCACAGCATCAGTAACTGTAGTATTTTGTAATAGCTGTAGTTTAACAATGCCACAAGTACCTCATTGAGTGTAAAAACTTGGTGGTACCTAATGAAGAGTAAGGGAAAGAACTGGGTCACATGTAACTCTTTCATGCCCTAAATCTGACATAAGTTTTCCAGAGTTTTGCTGTACTAGAGGTAAATGCTGATGCTGAACAGGCACATTGTTACAGGTACAGTAGGATCAGGGCTAGTTCCCCATCTTGGCCTGTGTGTAGGAGAATCCAGTTGAGAAATACTGAAGATTGCTTCAACTCTGATCTCTTTAATGGTAAGCTTTGTAAAGCACAACTGTTTGTTCTGACAACCAGGTCAATATTTGAGGCATTCATATTTATAGTGCTAACAAGGAAGTGAATAATAAGAATGTATTATTGTATGTTAGATGAAAAGAGGTTCTGGGAGAGTGTTGCTAATGTCTTCTTGAATTCAGCGTCACTGTGGGACAGAGGTTGTTGGCAACAGGCTGTTAAACCTGATTGTCATGGACTGATGGAGTGGAGAAGATCAATGTGGGATGAGGTGTTAGCCAGCCAACCCTTCCCTGTAATGGTACCAACTGAAGTGGAAACCATTCTTCTCAAGCTAGTTAAATCATTCACAGAAGACTCTATACCAAAGCTCTCTACTGGACAAATGAAGTCTTCTCATGAGCTCATGGGAGTGACTACACTGCAAAACGTGTAACTGGGTATCACACCTGTCAGTGCTGCCTGGGCATTGTTCTGACCTGTGCAAAGTGATTCAAAGGTGTGGGAGAGGATGCAATGTGCAATTCTAATTGTCCTGTTTCAAGATATGTACCTTTAAATTAAACATTGAAATGTTTAATTTAATGCTTAACTAAGTAGCTTTTTTCTTGTTTCATTATGAATAAATGTGACTTATATCTGAACAGTACCTGGAGAAAAATTTCCAGGCAGGAGCTAAGACATAACGAAGATTTCCCCCCCCCCCCCCAATTTATTTTTATAAGAGGTTGAGGTTGCATGAGAGCAATTAGAGAACCACAAGAGAAAATGGTAAATATCTTAATAATACCTGTTCTTCAGCAGTGACTCACAGAATGGGTCAGGTTGGAAAGGACCAGGGGTAGGATCAGCTGGTCTCACCTCCTTGCTGGAGCAGGGTCATCCCAGAGCACATGACACTGGATTTCATCCAGACATTTCTTAATCCCAGTAAGGCAGACTCCATACCATCTCAGGGAAACCTGTTCCTGTGCACAGTCACTGCACAGGAAAGAACTTCCTCATGTCCAAGTGGAACTTCCTGGGCATCAGTTTCACAGAATTACTAGGTTGGAAGAGACCTTTAAGATCATTGAGTCCAACCCATGCCCTAACACCTCAACTAGACCACGGCACCAAGTGCCATATCCAGTCTTTTTTTAGACACATCCAGGGATGGTGACTCCACCACTTCCCCAGGCAGCCAATTCCAGTATTTGATCACTTTCTGTAAAAAACTTTTTCCTAATATCCAACCTATATTTTCCCTTGGTGCAGCTTAAGACTGTGTCCTCTCGTTCTGTTAGCTGCTGCCTGGAGAAAGAGACCAACCCCATCTGACTACAACCACCTTTCAGGAAGTTGTAGGGAGTGATAAGATCACCCCTAAGTCTCCTTTTCTCCAGGCTAAACAACCCCTGCTCCCTCAGTCATTCCTCATAGGGCTTGTGTTCCAAACCCCTCACCAGCCTTGTTTCCTCTGGATGTGCTCAAGCATCTCAACATCCTTCCTAAACTGAGGACACAGAACTGGACACAGCACTCAAGGTGTGGCCTCACCAGTGCCAAGCACAGGGAGGCATGACCTCCCTGCTCCTACTGGCCACACTATTCCTGCTCCAGGCCAGGATGCCACTGGCCTTCTTGGCCACCAGGGCGCATTGCTGGCTCACGTTCAGCTGGCTGTTCACCAGTACCTCCAGGTCTCTTTCCACCTGGGCACTGTCCAGCCACACCATCCCCAGCCCATAACATTGCAGGGGGTTATTGTGGCCAAAATGCAGAACTCAGCACTTGGACTCATTAAACTTCATCTTACTGGACTCTGCCCATCCATCCAACCCTTCCAGGTCTCTCTGCACAGCCCTCCTCCCTTCCAACAGTTCGACATATGATCCCAGCTGTGTCATCTGCAAATTTACTAATGAAAGACTCAATATCCTCATCCATGTCATCAATAAAAATATTGAACAGAACTGGCCTCAGCACAGATCTCTGAGGGACACCACTAGTGACTGGCTGCCAGCTGGATGCAGCACCTTTCACCACCATTCTCTGGGCCCGGCCATCCAGGCAGTTCTTAACTGAGTGAAGAGTGCTGCTGTCCAAGCTGTGGGCAGCCAGCTATTCCAGGAGTTTACATTGTTAAAAGCCTTGCTGAAGTCCAAACAGACAACATCCACAGCCTTTCCCACATCCACCAGGTGGGTCACCTGGTCATAAAAGGAGACCAGGTTGGTCAGATACAACCTACCCCTCCTAAACCCATGCTGGCTGCGTCTGATATCCTGGCCATCCTGTAAGTGCTGTGTGATGATACTCAATATAAACTGTTCCATTACCTTACTATGTACTAGGTAACTGGCCTACAGTTACCAGGATCCTCCTTCCTACCCTTTTTGTGAATGGGAGTCACATTGGCCAGCTTCCTCTGGAACCTCACCAGTGAGCCAGGACTGTTGGTAAACGATGGAGAACAGCTTCGCAAGCTCATCTGCCAGCTCCCTCATCACCCTGGGATAGATCCATCTGGTCCCATAGCTTTGTGAACATCCAAGCAGCTCAGCAGTTTTCTGACTGCCTCCTCCTAGATACCAGGGGGACCATTCTGCTCCCTGACACCATTTACCAACCCAGGAGGACAGTTGTCCTGAGGACAAGCTGTCTTCCCACTAAAGACTGAAGCAAAAAAGGCCTTCCACCTTCCCCTCTTCTACAATTACTAAGTTCCCTCCTGCATCCAGTAGAGAACAAAGGTTGGTTGGCTGCCTCTTGTCCTGTTGCTGGGCACCATGGAGCAGAGTCTGGTCCCTGCTCTGAGCCCTCCCTGAAGACAGGGATGAGGTCCCCTCTAAGCTGTCTCCTCTGGAGGCAGAACGGCTCCAGCTCCCAAAATCTTTCTTTGTAGGGATATCCTTCAATCCCTTCCACAGCCTCCACAGCCTCTGCTGGACTCGGTCCAGGAGCTTCATGTCCCTCCTGTCTTGAGCAGCCCACCTGGACACAGCACTCCAGATCTGGCGTCACCAGGGCTGAGCAGAGGAGCAGCATCACCTCCCTGATCTTCTGGCAAAGTTTTTCCTGATTGACCCCAGGATATAATTAACCTTCTTGTCCCTCAGGGTATTGCTGGCTCAGAGACAGCTCACCAGGACCCCAATGTCCTTCTCCACAGAGCTGCTCCCCGGCAGATCAGCCCCAGCCAGGTGCATGGGAAGATTCCTTCCCAAGTGTAGATAAGCAAGAATAAGAAGATATCCTTGCATTAAGACAAGCAGTAGATTCATAACTGATTTGTTTACTATGATGTTTCTGAAAAGAAAAAAACACTCAAAACATACATTCTGCTTAAAGACATTACTTTCTTTATGTACACCCTTCTCTATAGTCTGTGCCTTAGTATCACAGCTTATAAATCAGCTGGTAAAATTTTGTCTTCATTCTACTGGAAAAGATCTTCTTTCTCTTCACTGAAGTAATTACTTTTGACAACAATCCATTGAAGAGATCACTGAAGTCTTCAACAGTTTCATGATTCCAGTCTTTAATATGTAATTTGTCTAAAGGATCACATATAAAAAGTTCAGTTTTCAAGACTAGAAAAGTCTGGTCCTCCTTTGCTGTAGTTTCCAGAAATTTCTGCCCCACTGAAGTCAAACCCAGGGTTCTGATGGAAGTAAAATTAAAAATTGTTTAGTAAGTAAATGATTTAGAATAAAAATGCTTTTTAAAATCCCAGACAACCCACAAACAAAAACCCTAAATTGCTTCTTGTTAATATTCTGCCATTGTAATAAGAACACATAATAATCAACTTGTCATATGTTTATCACAGCACTGAAATCCTTGGAAAATGCATCAACAAACTCTGAATTGTTATAGCTTGGTTGCATACTGGTGAATTGACTTTGTAATGCTGTTCTTGACTTAGCAAGTAGTCAGATCTCCCAGAAAAGAAATATTAATGAAAGTTTAAGAACGAGATCTGGCTTTTGGTGTCCTTTGAAACTGCCTTTTGAAAATACATGCCCTGATGGAGGGTTCATAAAACTGTTGTTCTCTGCTGCAGTACATAGCCTGCTGATTCAGCTGGTATGTAAAATGTAATTCTACACCCCTGCAGACAGGTACAGGAATAGTTGTGTGCCAAAGGGACAGCAAAACAATTTAGGCAATTTTAGTAAAAGCATAAGGAACATCTTTTCCAGCTAATTATTCCACTCCATCTTACATTATAAACAAGCATATCCAGTAGAGTTTGATGTTCAAATTTTATTGTAAATATGGCTATGTCATAATTCTAGATAATAACAAAAGTTATATGTAGCCTAACAAGTCAAAAGTTGTTAGGAAGATACAATTACTAAAACAGTAATAGCACCTCCAAACTCATTTGAACTTATAACCCTGCAGGCAGACTCATCTCTTCAAAGCATAGTGATAAAACCTTGTAAGCATTTTATAGATATTGAACTAAAGCATATATTTCCATGGCATTTGCTCAGCTTTCCTGGCCATAACATCTGTGTGCTAACAAAAAATATAAGGAGTAATTATGGTCCTGATGTCTTGGGTTTTAGTGTTTATATTTTTCAGATTCTCTGCTGCTTGGTGTGTAACTCTGGAACTTCATATTCAGTCTTAGGAAGTTCTCTTCACAGGGTAGTTAGACAAAACAATCCCTTCCCAGCTAGAGAATTAAGGACAATCGTTACACAAAAAGCATAAACAACGTCGAAGGGAAGGGGGCAAGCCAGGGGGTTGAGACTTCATAACCTGGGGCTATGGTCGGAAAATTGACCCCAATATGTAGATGAACAAAAACCTATAAAATTGTAAAAACTTGTGACAGAGATCCATCTTGGATTCAACACGGGTGCAGCCCCAGCCAGGCTCTTGTACTGCCCAAGGCCTTTTAAGGCCTTTCAATAAATAGCTATTTTATTCCTTTTAGCTCTGTCTAGTCTATGCTCCACATCAGCTATTCTAAGCATCAGTCCCTTAACTTACTTCTCTTTGGAAACGCTCCAGTGTAAGTTTCCTTTGCATCTGGTCCTGTACCCAAGGATCAGCAGCATATTCATTTTCTAACAGAGATGTCCAACAATTTCCAGCGTCTCTGTTTGTCTTCATTAGAACAATTCGTATCATCTGCCTGTCTTCTGTTGAATGAAAACATATAGAGCAACCTTTAAACTCAGTCCTACATGTTGGTTCGTTTCTTGTTTCGGTGAATTCACCATTAACAAGCATAAAACGTGAAGTAATTTAAGTTCTTAATGCCAATGCCAACCTAGTTCTTGATAAATAAATAAACATTAACAAGGAAAGAAAGGCTGAAACAAAGATAGTCTGTATTGTCATCTCTCCCCTTCTGGCCTGTAAGATGCTGAAGCTTTAAGGGATTAAACACAGTTCAAAACTACTATTGCAAACATAAAGTAACCTCTTGGAGATGTTCACAACAAAGATTTAATCTATTACAACAGACAACTCTGCGAAGGCAATAATGAAAAATTTGAGATCAGGCTTTACAGAGAGTTATTACCAACATAAGCAAGAACTAAGTTTTAGCAACATATGAACGAAGGATTATTTAAAAGAATGTGTATGGCTATAAAGAATATATTGGAAGCATGTTTCAAAGTAAATGTGCAGGGTGTTCAGTTCTACTGAAGTGAATAAATACAGCATTAGAAGTGTATTTTGAATATTATTTGCGTATTGAAAAAGACTAGGCTTTGCTTCACAATGTGTATTAACACTTTTAATTTCAATGATTAAATTACTAAATCATCAATAAATATTTAAAATAAATATCATAGCAAAACACTGAGAGACACAGTCCACAAATATGATTGCCAACCCCCAAAATATTCTGAATAGTTTACACTATTTATGATATAATGGCTCAATATGCTTTTTTTCCTAATTATATGTAGGAACCTTAAGTATGATTTTTAAATTTCTTTCTGATTCTTTTGGACTGTAGATTTTGTCATTCATTCAAAAAATGTAACGCGTAAAAGTAGTAATCATGGAGAATCATAGATTACGTAACTGTACCAGAACTGTTTACCTTTAAATGAAGGTTTGAAACTTCTCACTATATGGAAATGTTTGTAACCCATTGATTATGACCTTCCAGGATGTGGCATTTTCTCATTAACCTTAGTCTCAAGTGCTTTTGTAATACCTCAGTTCCTTAATCCAGCAATAACGACTGCCTTTTTACAAAGCTATGGAAAGAAAGTAATCTTTCCCATTAATAAAGAGGGGGTAAACTATTCTGCAGTGTCTATTGGAAAGCTTTATTGCCTTTATAATGTCACTTCAGATGTAGGTTATTACCTAAGGTCCATGTTCCTTCATCAGTTACTGTAGAGTCAAAAAGTTTACCCTGCAAAAGATAGGTACAATATTACAAATCAGTAAAACCTCTTCAGCATCCAGTTAACATTGAATTATGAAGTTTTACTCACAACTTAACCACCTTGTATTCTGCTGAAAATGAATAGGGTGATCTGACCCTAAAAGTATACACTTGTATGTAGCCTGCTAAAGAATTATTGCTTGTTATGCAATAATTTTTTAATTGAAGCATTTAATACCTTCATTGTTTCAGTATCTGGAGTCATTGAAAAGGCTTGTGTTTCTCAGCAGGTAATGCCATTTTTAATAATCTTGTCATGAAAATGCATGTGTTTTTGCCAGGAGTAAATCTAGCTCTCGTGCAGGGTACAGGTAGTATGAGCAGTTCATTATAAATGTGAAAGTAAATCTGTCTTTAGGCTAGTTTTATGGGGTTTGGTTTTTGTTCTTTTTTTCCTTTCTGGAGCAATTGAAGCTGTGCACTGAAATGCCATCCACATTCACACTAGAATCTATGTGAATTTGTATCTTTATTTTTTATAGAATCACAGAACGGTTTGGATTGGAAGGGACCTTAAAGTTCATCTCATTACAGCTCCCTGACATGGGCTAGGACACCTTCTACTGTTCCAGGTTGCTCAAAGCCCTGTCCAACATAGTCCTGAACACTTCCAGGGATAGGGCATCCATAGCTTCTCTGGGCAACCTATGCCAGGGCCTCCCCACCCTCACAGGGAAGAATTTCTTCCTAATATCCAATATAATACTATCTTCTGACAGTTTAAAGCCCTTCCCCCTTGTCCTATCACTACATGGCCTTCTAAGAAGCCCCTCTCCAGCTGTCTTTTTACGTACTGGAGGACAGGCACCATCTGCAAAACGTCCTGCAGGTGAACAAAACTGTTTCCAATGAATGTCATTTTTAATGTATCAAACCTGGGATAAGGAACAGAGAGGCACCACAGGGCACAGGTATGCCAACCTTCTCCCAGGTGTCTAATGACAGCACGTGAGGATGCAGCCTAAGCTGTGCCAGGGCAGGTCTGGGTGGGACATCAGGAAGAAATTTCACAGATGTGATAGACATTGGAGCGACCTGCCCAGGGAGGTGGCGAAGTCACAACCCCTGGAGATGTTTAAGGAAAGCCCACAGGCTAGACTCCGTGGCCTCAGAGGTATTTTATAACCGAATTGAGCCCGTGACCCCCCGGCGCCCCGCGGCCTATGCGTCGGGAGCAGCCGCTGGCCTGTTCCCTCCGGGCTGCCCACGGTACCTGCAGCAGCTCCTGTCCGCACACGGCCAGGGAGATGTGCCGGCTCCGCAGGCTGCAGCGCACGTCCTTGGAGCGGGTGCCCGGCGGGACGCGCACCTCGATGAACACCTCCTCCAGCGTCTGGTACCAGCGGCCCCAGGGCGTCCCGCAGGGCACCACCCCGCTACGCTCCTCGAACGGAGCCGACATAGGACACGCCGGGAGCGCTCCGCTCCACGCTCCGCACCGAACTGCACAATGAGTCCCGCACAAACTGAGCTCCGCGCTGCCCCGCGATTCCGGCCCCCGCACCGGCCCCGCTCCCCCCGGAGCGTCCGCTCCGCGCACGCGCGCCGCCAGCCACGCCCCCCGCCGGGCCCGCAGCGCGCGTGCTCCGCGTCGAGCGCGCCGACTGGCTGAGGCGGGTGAGGCGGCGGCAGCTGATTGGCTGGGTGGCGCGCACTGCGGCCGTTGGTCTTTTTGAACACCGTGCCGTGGGGCGGTAGCGCTGTCATGGCTTCCGCGCGCGCGCCGCTCTGCCGCCACCTTCACCGCGATGGGAGTGCTGGTACGTGAGGAGAGGGGGCAGAGGGAGTGGGGGCGAACCTTTTGGCAGTGCCCGAGGGGCCGGGGATCTGCCTCAGTGTGTCCGTTCCTGTGAGGAGCAGCCTGTAGCACGGTGCCTGAGGACCCTCTGGGTTTTCGCAAGGGGTCCCTTCTAAGGCAGAAGGTCCCGACTTCGTGTCTAGCCCTGGCATGCCAAACACAGTAGCGAACGTATATTATGTGCGTAGTAACTAAAACGATGCTAAGCCTTGCTGCTTCTGGTTCCATAGTACTGTGCTGTAAGAGGAACTTGCGGAGCTTGTCATGGCTGAGGCACTGCTAGCGAGAGCGTTTTCTGATGTACGAATCTCTCACCGTGGGACTTTGGCCGTAGATTTACCCTAGATATGTTATCAGACTCAACTTACCGAAGCTGAAAACCCTGTAATTTACCTTCCTTGTTCTTTGCTGTTCTAAAAATCTCATTTCTAGCACGTGCCCCTCTGCAAGGATCCCATACCGTTAAGCCATCAGATGAAGTGGGAAGTTTGCTGTCCTCTGAAGCATGCCAAGGGGTTAGGAAACAGAAGAGTAAGTAAAAATTGCACAAAACGCAATGATATCTTTAGATGTTATAATTGTTAATGCTGTTACTGCTCTGCTCCTCAGAAATTGGTTTCTGTTGCAGAGACTCACTGCTTACCTTCCAGCTCAAAGGAGCAGCTGTAAAAATATCTATTGGAATCTTCCAAAAATAGCTTTATATGTAACTTGTGCTAATTAGGGAGGTGCCTCTGGAGGTCAAATAAACTACTTATTAACCTAGGGTTTAGAGATATTTTCGTGCATTTTAATATCTAAAGCATCCTTTAGTCCAAAACTGACCTTATGGATCTGGATCATGGCAAGGAAACTTGGCAGAGGTGGAAATACCAGAAGTGTCTGTCTGCCACCTGTCTAAACTCTTGCCAAGTGGCCAGATGACTAATATTGAACTGGCTGATTGCAGTAAAAAAGTAGCTAGTATTGGGTTGTGAAGTTGATAGACTAACAATCAGGTGGAACGTTGTCTTTTGTACACAGTCAATTGACCTGGTATAGTTTGGTTACATTTGCTTCCCTGTGTGCATGCACACTCTCTTCCTTCACTATTCTCCTCTACATCCTTCTGCAGGTAAGATAAATCTGAGCAGTGAGAAGAGTGCACCCACTCCAGTAACTGCAAGGAGAGTCACATCTCTTGGATTGATGGTAAAACTCTGCTGTGGTGTCTGTAACACTGTTAAATCCCACCTAAATATCTCTGATTGCTTAAACAATGCAGCCCCTTCATACAATTCTCATTGATCTCCCCAAGTGAACTATGGAACATATTGTTGTATTTGTGTTCCTTAAGACCTAAGCAGGAAAAATGGAGTTGCTGTATCCTTGGGAATCACGTGATAATTAAATTGGGCCTACAGACAAGTTTGTTGTATTTGGTGCTAGACTCTTGGGATTTCTTTTCCTCTTGCTCACCTTCTGTAATTATGGTGTGGCTCCTTCTTTTTAAGGAGATCGTATTCCTGTTCTCATGGGCTGGGCAAGGCAGAGTGGGAACCTGGTGGTGAAAGAAACAGGGAGGGGATGATACCACATGTACAGGTTCTCAATGTCCTATGCAAGGATATAGATTTCAAGATTAATAGCTTAACAAGCTGAAAAATGATAATCCTGATGTACTAATTAAATTTATGAGTATTGATGATGTAGGATGATACTCTGCAAAGAAACCTGAGGTGAAGTTGTTAAAATGTTTTTATGAAGCTTAGGGATACTAAAGTGTCCAACTTTGTTAATCTTCTTCCTGTCCCTGTAGTTATGAGCTGTTCAGAGTAATGCTGATGAGAAAGTATAAGGGTAAACCCCATCCTAACCTGATACTTTTCTGCCCTGTCTGGGAGAGACAAAGGTTTGCTATTTATGTGGTGTGTATCTTTGTAATGTTGTCTGTATGAAGCACTCACTCTTCTATTTAATTGTGCTCAGCTACTATGAAACTAGAGATTTCTAACACATCTCCCTTCCAAAGCCAGGTAATGGGGTTGTGAAGACTAAAAAAGATCTTATGCTTACAAAAGAGAAAAAGAAACAGAAGGCACTGGAGAAGGAGGTATGAATCCATTATATATGTGAAATCCTGTAATGCCTCCCACTTAGAATAAAGAAAAATGCAAGCTGATAAAACTGGCCTCTTCTGCATAATGCATCATACGAATAGTTTACAAACATCTCTGTGCAAAAGAAAGATTATCAGATATTATGAATGTGTAAAGCTAATGGAATTGCATTAATTCCTGCTGATTTTGAGTAACTATTCTGTCAGTCTTTTCAAAAACAGAATTAAGTCCTCTGTTGGCTGCTCCAAAAAGGTTCTGTTTTATTGAACCATCTCTAGCTGAATTTTTTTGCTAATTGATTAAAAGTCTGGTTTTAATGCCCAAGAGACACCCTAAAATGTATCAGTATACTTCTGTGTGCTAATTGATGCCTTGTGTCTCAAATGTCACATTCTGCTTTTTTGTCTGTCATAGCCAAAAAGGAGAGTTGGCTTCTGTTGCCCATTAAAGCTAAGACTATTCTAATTTTAACATGTTGTATTGGCTCAGTAGCATAAAATAATTCAGATGAAACATTGCTATTGTGTGGTGATTCTGTTATTTCCTTCCTGTGAATGAGAGTTGCAGATACATATTCTGAATGAAAGTAAATACAGTTTGGATACCTATGCCTGTGGTTTACTTGGAGGGGCTAAGCTAATGATAGTAGGAAATAAAGAAAATACCTTATGTTTTAGATTCGTGCATTAGTGAGAGAACGTGGAGAGCAGGATAAAAAACTTCAGGCTCTGGATGAAGACCTTGTTAAGATTGAAGCAAAGCTGAGTGCTGCAGTTCAGGAGAAAACCTCTCTCTCGGCAAATGTTGCATGCCTGAAAAAACAGCTTCTGGAGATAACAAGAAGCAATGAACTACTAAAGTCAAAGGTATTCAGACAAATAAGTGCATCTTTGCTTTGCCTTTGCTGTTATTGAGCTTCCTGTACATGAGGAAGTTTTAGTTGCTGATCAGCATCTGTTTTGATGTAGAGCATGTCTGCTTTGGGACCTTGTACCCTTCTGTCTAAACACAGAGCAGGAGGGGAACACTTGGAAAGGGTTGTGTGAGCAGCAATTCATACAAAGGAATTACACATTTATCTTCTTTTCTAACAAGCTGTCTGAAGATGGTGTGCAGAAGAAAATGAGCAGTCTGTGTATGGAGTTGATGAAGCTCAGAAACATGAGAGATGCTAAGGAAAAGGTACGACTATTTGCATAGGACAGTAATTCTGAGCTGCTGCAGAAACCAGTGATTCTCAGTATATTTTGAAGCTCTTGGAGGGAGTTGCTGTTTAACAAGAGGCTGATATCTTTACAGAGGGATACTTGGAATCACACTAAGCATCATAGCTGGTGCTATCATTAAATGGGAGTGATGATTAAATTTCAGTTCACCACTGTTTCTTCCACAATGCCTTTTTTTAACTAAATCTGATTTTAATGTTAATATGTGTGTTTTGTTTGTTTTTTTTAAGACTGCACTGGCAAAGCAGGAAGACATGGAAATGAAGCTACAGGAAGTGCAAAGGAATCTAGAGCATTCAAAAGGGAAAGTAGCACAGTTACAAGAAAAACTGTAAGTGCTAGGAAGGGAATTAGATGAGATGATATGACCTGGCTGTGTTTCCATGCTTATCTTTTGTGGTAGCCAAAATCAAGGCTGTATTCCTACTGAGAAGGAACAGACATTATCAGTGTTTGTAATCTGGAATAAATAGGATGGACTGAAGTTCTACCAACTGCTGAGGTTTGATAAAACAACCATTAGAGACATTGTTTCTCTAATGTATCTAACATTTTTCCAAAAGACAAACTGTATCATGTCAACCCTTTGTCTTCCAGTGTGGCATGGGTGGTGTTTTCTTGGGTATGGGGTAGGGAGGAAAGACATACCTCTTTAGAAAAGAATTGTTCAGGTTGGAGGAGGACATTTTGTATGGATGGGCTATTTCTGGCCCTTTAAACTACCAAGTTAGGAATAAGCAAGAATAGAAAAGCATTAAAGCAGGAGCTGAAATCCTAATTCAGCAGCCAGGCATTTGGCATGGATTTGATGAACATATGTTCTCCAGAGAAGTGCATTAAAGAGCCATTGTGGTCCCTTCAGAGCTGTTTTGATGTAGACAGGTGCTTGAAGAAAGGAAATTGCCCAGTCTCTTGGTTTCAGCAGCTCTATGTAAATAGAGCGAGTTCTAACTCAGCACTCTCTAGTCGGCCAAAAAAAGGCCATGTGCTGCACAGTAACAGTGCACTAATGTATAGCCTATTGCTGAGGATAGTGACCTAGGATGAACTTCCAAGCTATATTTAATGTCAGGTTGTCACAATTGGCACTGTGCACCAACTTGGCTGTTAAAACACACAAAGGTAATAATGCAGGTAGTGCAGGTCACAAAGCGAGGAGATGCTGATTTGCTACAAAAGCTACATTATGTTGATGCGTTATTATGTTTGTGGCATATTGTTCATGGCAAAATGTGGCTTAGCATCTTTACTGCATCATCTCTACTACATCATTTACTACAATGAGAAGACTATCTGGAACAGGTATGAAAAGAGGATAGAATCACCTCTTAGAGCCAATATCACTTTTTCAGCCAAACTGGGAGATGTAAAGTATATGTTACTACTTAACTCTGAATTTGCCTAAATATATGTCATAAAAACTGTCGGTTTTAGGTCTGCTACTGAGAGAGAGAAAGTTGAAGAAAAATCTGACACTGAAAAACTCCTGGAATATATTACAGAACTCAGGTAACAAAAAATTGTTCTTCTTGGAAACCAACAGTCCTAAACACTTTCGTTTGTGTTGATGTGTGAGCTTACAAACAAAATTTAGCGGTAACAAGTGCCTGAATTTTCTTCTACAGTAGTGTTGCAGAAACAGCTAAGAAATACAAACTGGAGGTCACCCAGATGAAGGAGACACTGAGTAAGAAAGACCAAGATATTGAGATCCTGAGGAATACCCTCAAAGCAAAAGAGGAAGAATCATGTAAACTGATGAAAGAACTTAATGAGAGGTGTCAATTGCTTCAACAAGAGAAAGGTAATTATTAGTTCTTGTACACTGTTCCACTTGTGGGATCACTCACATGCCTTAAAGCATCTCAAATAGGTGTTTTCTAAAATGTCAATTTAGACTGGTTTGTTCTAAATGAGAAGTCAAGTCTCTGAGCTCCAGCTAGAAATACCAAGGAATGTTTGTAACAGCAATCACTTCACATCTGACATCTGTTAATTGGTGTTTCCATAGAGGGTAACTTAGATGAATACTATACAATGGAAATTGTAGGAGTGGCTTTAATCTGAAAGGTGAACACTAAGAAGTTCTTGTTCTTTACTCTTCACTGAGAAGCGGTATAATATTGTGTGAATTCACTGCTAGCAGCTTGTAGGTTCGTTGAGGTGTTGGGAATGTGGCAAGGATGCTTCTTCACCTCCTTACTCCTTCTCTCCTAACACCAGCAGCTCTGCAATCTGAGACATATAATCAGTTTTCTGCGTACTGTGACTTCTGTGTGCTGGTTTGTGGAAGCAGCTTTGGGGAACTCATGTAGTTGTTTTCCTTGCCATACTGCTCTTCTGGTGAAAGCTAATAGCTTGGTCCAAACACTCCTGCTGTTAAAATTATTTTGAAGTGGTATACATCAAGCCAATTTTGAGGAGTTTCCAAATGGGTTTGTTTTGTGGGAGGGTTTCTTTCCATGTTTTTGGTAGTTAGGCAAGGGAAAATCAAAGATGGAATGGAAGTATTATGAATAATACATATTGTAACTATTTGAAGATAGAGAAGGGAATTTGTGTTGTATTGACAATTTTTCTGTACAGAGAAAGAGTTGTCAGAGGCCAAAGGACAGTTCCTGAGTATGAATGCTGAAATTGAAAACTTGAAAAAAAAAATTGATTTGGTGGAACAAGAACACCAAAAACTGCTTCAGAAGCATCAGGAGGTCATCTCTCAGCTGCAGCAAGAGAAGGTAAATACAGGCTATAAATTAGTCTAAAAGTATATTGTATTCCCAAGGATTGGTACTAAAAATTGTTGGTTTGGTTATGCATAAGATGTGCATTCCACAGATTAGGTTATCATTAATATAACAAAATGGGTACTGGCCTGCAGAACCTTGTGTAATTTAATAGGTCTGAGAATCATTGCTGGTGGGATGGGGGTTTTGGTTCTTCCCATAGATTTGAAATTTAAATACTGCAAGTTAGCCCTTTACTACCCAGAAAATACTGGTAGTTTTAAAATCTGTGGTACGCAGGAGTCATCTGCATCAATGCAGCAGAAGTTACTAGAGTTTGAAGATGAAGTAAAAAGTGAGAGACATCTTCTGGAAGAAGAGCTGAATGATACCATGAAGGAGCTGAATAAACTGCATGTGAAAGAGAAGAAAGCTGAAAAGCTGGTGAAGCGACTGGAACAAGAAATTAAATCTCAAGATCTTGAACTTGCACAGATGAAAGAAGAGTTGAAAGGGTTTGTGAGAGTAACTTTCTGATTCAAGCTTTGAAAGGAAAAATGTTAAATTAGTAGTGCAAACAGAGCTTCTGAGCCCAATTCAGGTTTTAGAGACCTGAGCAGATCTGAAGTTATTTCTTGCTGATTGTTGATTACTGTTAGTGATGAGCTCTAATCACTAGTAGTAGTAACTTGAGTCAGTTTTACATTGTTGTAATTTAAAACAAAAAAAAAGCCAGATGGGATTTGCTTGAAAGGCTGGTATTGTAGTGCTCTGACCTTGCTGTGCTGGGTAAGCTATGTGCATGTTCTATTGGCTATGTCTTTTCTGGAGAAGGCAATGAGAAAAAGATTTAAGGCGGTTGTTTCTTGTTTAAGTTTACTATTAGGTCTTCAGTCTATTCTATAGCTTGGAAAATAAAGGGAGGGGGAAATCCTTAGTAGTACCTGTTGTGAAGATGGTTGTGCTTTAGTATGTGAGAAGTTATTGGTTTGTCACCATTAGTTTACTGCTGCTGCTTCAAGCCTTCTCTAACTGATAGCAGCATTTGGTAATGTGTTCACGCATCTCTCCAATGTGCAATGCTGAATTTTTATTTCAGGAAGAATGCAGAGTTGGAGCAAATCAAGGCAATGCATAGCAGTGTTGTATTGAAAATCCAAGAAGAGCACAGCAATACACTGCAGAAACTTGAAAAAACTATTGCTGACTTCGAAAGGTATTTAAGTTTTATTAATGTGTGGGACAGGCATTATCTCTAAGATGACAATAAAATGCCCTGTTCATTTATGTGCCTTGGTACTTCACACCGCATGCAAGTGTTGGCATGGCATCAGAGTAAAGGATTTTGCAATGGTATTTGGTGGCATTAAGAATTTATTTCTTGAGTACTAGGCTAAGTATAATAGCACAGTATCACTGTCCAGTTCAGGAAATTGGATATTTCTTCTTCCAAAATGTAAACAGTTCAGTGGTCTTGAATCACAATGATATTTGTAACTAGTGATGGTGTTCTTGGCACTGAAATATCTTGCAAAAAGACTTGTATTGACTCAAAATTTGCACTGAATTGAGAGTAGTTTTCTACAGTTATTGCAGTTCTTTTACCTTAAAATATTCAGGTTTAGAAATTATATAGAAAGTGATACTGTTATTACTAGGTGTGTGTGTCACCTATGAAGGATCCTGTGGGATATTTGCCAATGCAAACTACACACAGCAGTTGCTTTGCAGCTTAAAATAAGCTTCAGAGAGAGTAGGTCCTTCGTGTTTTAAAATACCTACAAAAACATTGTAATATCTGTATCACAGAATTTGTCATAGTTTTACTACTTATGGCTTTATGGAACTGTGTTGTGGTATCTTTCTTACACTTGGATTTACCACTGCCACATCTCCAGATTATAAAATCTTTGATACTTGCTAGCATGAGCTTGTATTGCTCTTGTAAGGTGTGAATACGTAAACCTGTATTTTGCCTGAAGTTACAAGATTTTTCTCATTTGTACTGTAATGCCAGCTATAAGAAAATATCAGCTGAAGAAATTTGCAATTTTAAACTGGAGAATACTTCTCTGCGAGAAGAAGTTGCCAGCCTAAATAAAGTAGGCCAAGAGACTCTGCAGTTGCTTCAAGAAGCAGAATACAATAAAAACAAAGCAAATGAAGAATGTGCAAGGTACTACACAAAAACTTTTCCTTAAGCTAAGGAATGCAAACTAAGGCTTGCCTTTCTAACTAGAATGTCATGTCGTGCTCTAGATCAGATTCTGCTTTTCCTAGTGCAGAAGATTTGAAAATACTGACAGACAAAATTTATTAAGTTTATATGCGTTAGGAAAGTGGTCTGTCCAATCAGTCGTTTTGACTTTTTTCTATATGTGGAACATAGAGGAAAAGGGAAATATTTGAATGAAAGATGTTGGAATATTGTCTATATCAGTGTAAATATCAGTTACAGTGACTGCTCTGCAAATAATATCCCCAGGGGAGACAAGCAAATACATAATGCAGAACTTGCTCTTTGCCACTCTAGTCTGAATGATGTCACCTCAAATTCTGCTCACAAGCAGATGCCAGTTAATCATCCATGAATTGCCACACTGTGGTGATGTAAACTGAGGTCATCTCTCTGCCTAATATGAGGCACCACAGTGCAGCTGATGAGAAATAACACCCAAGAAGTTGTGTTAGGCCAGTAACTGAAGACCTGTTTCTCTGACTGTCTAACAGCAATTTTGCGATCCATGTTCTCTATGGTTCTGTGCTGGTTAAGACCCTGCCCTTTCTTTCCTCCCACCTGTTTAATGTCTCCAATTTCCATTAAAGCTGATAAAAGAAAAACAGAAGAGGTATTTCCTAGCTGAGGTGGCAGGGAAGACATGGAACTAACAGCTGGGGGTGGGCGCACCTGCAGGCATCGGTCTTGATTAGTTCCTTCTTGAGCAAATCTCTGCATGTAAAGCCTAACTACTAAACTGCTAAAAGCTGTTGGTATTGAACAACCTTAAATGAGCAGCATGATCTTTCTTTGCTTCAAAAGGACTGCTTGCATCCTTACAGGAAAAGGTAAAAATGTTGCTTATTTTAAACTTAATTGCCATCTGTACTACTGTTTTCATTGTGGCACTGTTTGTGCAAACCTTCATTCCAGTTCTACTAAGAGCTATTCCACCATGTTAGATTTAGTGTAGTGGAAAAAAAGTAAAACACAAGGGCTTATTAAGAAATTATGGTATTTTCCTTAGGATGCTCTTAGAAGTCCAGACCAAGCTTGCACTAAAAGAAGCAGAAACAGAGAGAACAAAAGAGTCTTGGCTTGCACAAATGACTAAACTTCAGGAAAAACTTGAGAAGCAAACTGAAGATCTGAAAAGAGAACTTGAAGCAGAAAGATCAAGGTGACTTTCTCAAATTTAAACTGCATATGATGGTACAGCCAAGTTTTATTGGGAGGAAGAGCTAACGAGGAACATAATAAAACTCTGCTTCTTGCTTTTTAGGAAAACCATAAGTGAAGATGTGACCTCTAGCTTAAAGGAAGAGATCAAGACCTGGTGTAAACTGTATGAAGATTTACATAACAAAGTTAAGCCTTTTCAGGTGTGAAGTAGGTGTTTGTTAGTATCTGTTGACATAAAACTTTTGTAGTTGGATCAAGTTCTACTCTTGAGAAGTAAATATACTACTTCGCATTCAAAGGTGTTTATTCCGTGGTGGTTTCCTAAGTTACTATCCAATGAGCCAGCTATTCCCCTTCCCAAACTAATCTTCCTTGGTAGATTTCAGTCCAGTAAAAAGTTATGCTTAGTTGAAAGATTTCTAAGATGTTCAAATGTATTTCAGCAACAACTAGATGCTTTTGAAGCAGAGAAGAATGCACTCCTGGAGGAGCATGGGGCAGCCCAAGAAGAGCTGAATAAACTGAGTGATGCATATGCTAAACTACTTGGCCACCAGAACGTGAAGCAAAAAATCAAGCATGTTATGAAGTTGAAGGAAGATAATGCCCACCTGAAGCAGGTTTGTGAAATGAAAAATTAGAAATCTGCAAGTTACTAACGTGCTTGATCCTTTGTTTGTTGCTCTGAATATTTATGGACTAATCCCGCAAGCTACTTTCTTGGTTCTTAAATTCCCTGCATGAACCAGATTACGATAAACCACCAGCCTCCAGAAATGCCACATGTTTTATTTTTGACTGAATTTACAACATACAGAGGGATCAGCAGTACAAATAAATACCTCTAGTCTCAACTTGGTTGGATTTTCTTACTTTTTTTTGGGGGTTCTAGAATAAATTGTCTCCTGAAAGTTTCAAACTTGCATACTGCCTAGTGGTGTTACACCATACCTGTACATGCCGCTGGTTTCTCTACACCTGTATGTTTGAGTTGGGTTTTAAGGCCACCAATAAGTGTTGATGTTTAGCATTAGGCAAAATGGTTCCCTCAGTAAGTGTTGAAGCAAGCTCTTCTGTTCTTCATCTAACTTCCAAGTATTGTTTTCTCTAGGATGTCTCAAAACTGCGTGCATTGCTAGCCAAGGAAAAGCAAACCAACAGACATCTTCAGGAGCAGCTGTGTGCAGTCCAGGGCATTAAGCATTTTGATCCTTCCAAAGCTTTCCAGCATGATAGCAAGGAAAATATTCCTCCAAAAACACCTTTAAAAGAAGGTACGTTCGTTATTGACTTGTACCCCTTAAGCTTAACCAAAGAAGGTATGAGAGTCTTGCATAGTCTGCTGCATCTGGAGGAGGTGAATAGTGTCTCTTGTTTCACAGCAGATGTTGGTGTCTTCATCAATGGGGCACTCTCAGTGTACTTTCCATCCCAGATCCTTAAAACCTGAATAGGTGGTGTGTCAGGTCAGACAGCAAAGCCGTTTTCCTTCTGTCACCAGCTCACATGTTCCTGTTGAGGAGGTGACAGGAAGTGTCTCCTGCACAGGTCACAGGGTACAAGTGGCTCAGTCAGACCTTTGTACCCTGGTTCTTTAGCTGCTACCTGGCAGGACCTTACACCACTGCAGGTGTCAAGGTAAGATGCAAAAGGTCTGCAGATAAATGTGGAGTGTAGGACAAGATGGAGAGAGCATGGGGGCACACCAAGGGAAGCAGGGTAGGGGAGAGTTTCATTAGAGTGTCTGTTCCAGGGTTTGATATCTTGGCTTCCCTGTGAGATTCAGTGTAGGACTTTCTATCCCCCTGGAGAGAAGAAATTACTTAATGTGGTGGGAGCAATAGGTGAAAAACTCAAACTTAGTAACATTTTTCCATTGCAGGTAATAAAAACAAAATTTGAAGTCTTCTCAATATTAAGAAAATAAATCACCTATAAATTCGTGTGCTACAGGAGACTTTCAACAGAACTTCAAGTTCTTCAAGGTGAACTTGGATGCTGTATATAATACAAATCAGTAGGAGCCTTAGAAAAATGACCTAAAATTATGTATTTTTAGAAAAACTGAGTTTTCCTGAGAAGCAACAGGTGACAGCATGTTCTTAACTCCTGGTATCATCATTACAGGCATGAACTCTGAAAAGTGTTCACTGTTGCACACTTTGGATATGCTGAGGCTGCTTAGTTAGGTTTTGAGCAGAACATTTTAAATTTGGAAAAGGAGAATAAGATTACAAATTAAATCAGGTTTAATATAAGTTTTTTTATTTTTATATAAAATTTTTTTTGCATCTATCCCATATATACAATTCTATGTTAAATTAATTTTGCTGTTTTTAGCTGCCTTGGTACCAATGGCATCAATACTGTCAAGAGACCCTTTTACTTCTGTGGCCTACATGCTATAGAACCAGTGTAGAAATGGGACTGTACACATAATTTTTATATTCTACAGGATCTATATTCAGTATACACAAATTTAAATCCTGGGACTAGGTGTTGCAGCTGTTGATCTTCAGAAGAGCATTTTCAGGTCAAATTGACTGCATTTATCTAAACGTTTGTATACTGTGACTAAGATTAGTGTCTTAAGAGCAATGCTGTGTCCACTGGACTCTTAAACTGCCACAAAATCTTTGTAGCCAGCTGTGGTAAGTGATCAGTGCTACAGCGACAGGGAATAACAACAGAACTTCTCTCACTTGGATGGGAGGACACCCGAGGAACTCACATGCCTTGTGTGGACTGGAATTTTGGCAAAGGAGAAAGAATCTGTTAAACTGCATTTAAAATTAAGAACACTTTACCACAATAAAAAATTTACATTAAAGAATTTGTCCATTTCCTTTGCAAACCAGGGATAAAACCCAAAATTACATTACAGTGGGATTCATCTATACTTTTTTTCTAGTCTTGTCTTCAAAACAAAGCCCAATGCCAGTCTTGCCTCAAAAACTACATATTCTGTAGTCTTAGGGAAATTATTTAACTGAACCGTACAATACATACAGCCTGAAATTCTCTTATTTCTCTTAATACAAAAGTAAATACTGAATTTAAGTCAAAGATGGAACTGTGTTTTTCTTATTGTCTGTGCAGCTATCTTGCACAGAGCTTCTGCACAGGCAATACCCACAGCTTAGCTGGTAGCATTTATTGCCATTTGTGCTGACATTGTGAGCTTACAGAAACTTCAAAATTCCTAGGAAATTATATACCAACAATGCACATTAAGTCCAAGGAAAGAAGTTGCTAGATGTTGTCTGTTAATGTCATCTTTGTGCATTTGCTGGATTACTTGATCCTCTGAAGATTGAGGATGAGGATTAGTTTCAAGTATTTTAATTAACAGAGCACTTGGTATTCAGCCTGAAGTGTTGAGAGATATTTTGATTTAAAAAGTTATTAGAAGCATTTAATACTGTTCTCTCCTTGTGGAAGAAAAAATTAAGGTTTTCTTGTCTGAAAGATGTAAATAGAGTAAAAAAATTGTAGAGGAAGCAGGCATTTGTCTGAATGTTAATGGAAGGTTCCACCAAACTCAAAACATGAACATGGAAACACTGGGTTAAGGTACTTCTTGGATTTTTTTTTTTTTTTTTAATTGAAGGTACAAATATGCCAAGGGAAGCCAAGAATGGCAGTTGTCACAGGACTGGGCTTTTAGGATTGCTACATCTTTGTTTGATACAGATGGCATGAGCATGTTTATAGTAATAGAAATAAAGGTAAACTCCAGCAAATAATTCTGCTAGCCCTACAGCAAGGGTGATCCTTGAGCTTTTAAGCATGGATAAATCCTGTAGAGCAGAGTGGGGAGGAGAAAAGCAAAAGGTGAAAGTCAAGGGGAAATTGAGGGCTTTTTGTCAACTTCAGTCTAGGAGGCTTTTTTGCTTTAATGCACTATAAAGTGAAGTATTAAAAACTGGAACCTTGACATTTTTAGCTCAACTGACATTAGTATTCACTGCAGGAATCCATTATTTTCATGTTGTGGAAGATTGTGGGGTTTTTTGAATTGAAAAATCCATGATTTAACACAAAGTTATTTCTCTGATCATTCATCTTGCTGTATTGTAGCAAAAGCTGGCCTGTGCTTAGTTGAAATGTAACATGAAGAGCTAGAATTCTCAACCTGCCTGACCTAATTAGAGCTTTCCTCCTGTTTGCTCTAAAAGACAAACTCTCCAAGACTCAGTGCCAATTCTTTGAATGGATCTCATGCACACAATAGCTGTGTTTGCTTACGCTGGCTGTTACGACGTAAAAATTTAAGCTTCTATAATGAGCTGCTTAAATGGTACCACTGAAACCAAACCAAAAGCTTAACAGGATTCAGAGCCACACGTGATGTAGGGCTTGGATTTGTGTTTTGGTTTCAAAGGTCAGCAGAGCCAATGCTGCTCTCAGTCTATGTGCTCTATGCAGGCACAGCAGACAAAAGGGACAAGTTGCGTAGTTGAACTGCAATTATGTCCTAGGCTGGTTATTCCTTCTCTGGTTTGGCAGTGCCTGAAGTGCTTCTGGAAATGGAGCAGGTAAGGCTCTGGATATTTGCATTAACAGGTTGCTACCACACTTTGGTTACGAAATCAAGGGAAAAGCAAATTGGGAGGAGAGAGGGAAGACTTAATGATGCTTGAATCTCTGTGAATTACAGCCTGAAATCTTAATTTAATGAGTGGTCCATTTAGTCACCCAGGGATGCATAACACTTAAGTGGCTATGATCTAGACAACAATACAAATTTTACTGTAAAATCTTAATGTTTCACAAAGCGGATGTAACAATAATTGAAAGAATAGGTAGAACGTTATAGAATTCTAGGTAAATACTTGAGGAAAAACTGCTTTATATTATATAATGAAGACACAAAAACTATAAATAATTTAACTTATTCTGGTGACAAAGATGCTAAGATATTTTACAGGCTGATTGATGATTGTAGCTTGAGATTTCAGTGTTCATACTTTTGTTATTTTCTTCTTGCTCTGAGCCCAGAAGACAAAACTTATTTTCCCACCATAGTTTTTGTTAAAATGCACAGGGAGCTCTTCCAAGCTGTGTTGGGAGGAGATGAATGATGGTGTACTGGGAGTTCTTACCTCCATACTGCTACACAGTTTGGTATTTCTTTGTAGATTCTTCTTGATTTCAAATTATGACTAACTGGTATTTTGAAATAGAATTCTAAGGTTAATGGAAGGGAATTCAATGTCAATAGCTGGGGCATCTGTATTTCATGAAGACAGAAACTGGCTGAAGTGGTTTAATTTTTTTATGCATATACACCTTTTTGTCCTCTAAATGTTAGTTGTTTGTCATAAATAAAGGTAATTTACAATATTCTATACAATTTTAGTATGATTCTATTAAATTTTGGTGGACTTTTCTGGTTTTCTTCCAGAGTACTACCAAATCAAACACTTTTCATCAAGTCAAGTTGAAATAAGTTCATAGACAAATAAGTGTCAAGTATCTACAGTGAATTTTGGCCAGTAGTTTTTACACATCTTCAGTTCTCTTGCTAAAAAATGCTAGGCTTAGTCTATGCCTTTGTGCATCAGAAATGGTACAGTAACATTTTGTATACAGTATCCTGTTACCTTCAAAAACTTGTATTAAAAAAGAAATCAAATCTGTCTGTCACCTTGTAAGCATGTAATGATACATAGAGGATGGATACTGTAAGCAATAATTGCTCTCAGAAACAACCCTCCCTTCTCTGTGGGATACACGACTTGCTTTTACATTCAACTCTGGATAAAGGCAAATTGCAAATACTTATTTTTCTTCATTCTAAAAGGAGGAATTAAGTATTTTATAGTGAATACCTGACAGCTCTATGCAGGCTAATATGCTATTTTGGTCTACTTCTGAAGTTCCACTTTGTGTTTACAAATGAGAAATCACAAAAGAAAGTTCACAGTTTCAGTAGGGGAAGTGTGGTTACATGTTAAAGTGCAGCACAGCACCACATGTGCTTACTGCAGTAACTTTTTTTACTGCTTAAAGTACCATGAACAGGAAAAGCGGAGCCCGCCATGCAGCTACGGTAGCCTTGGTGCTTGCGGTGCCCCAGGAGCACAGGCCTGAGGCCAGGAGCTTTCGACTGGCCATCCCGTCTGGTTTTCCAAAGCAGCGCTGCGGGCTCTGTGCCGCGGGGCGGGGCTGGCTCTAGGCACGGGCACTTCCGATCGTGCCTCTGCTGCCCCCGCCCGGCACGTGCGCACCCCGCGTCGCCCGAGGCCGCCCCTGCCCCTTTAAATGCCCGTTCTGGCCCCGCCCCCTCCGGCGCTCCCCGGCCAATGAGTGCCCGGCGTCGGCAGGCGCGTGCGTCGGGCGCTCGGCGGGGAGAGGGCGCCCCCTGTCGCGCATCTCTCGGCACGGGCGTGGAGCCTCCCTCCTGCAGCGCCGGGCGAGCCGCGGGCGCGGAGCGGCACCAGGCCTGGCCGGGTCCCGCCATGGTCGGCCGGGAGAAGGAGCTCAGGATCCGCTTCGCGCCGGGACGCTGCGAGCTCGTGGAGGTGAGGGCGGTGGGGCCGGTAGCCCGCCGCGGGGTGGCTGTGCCGGTGTACAACGCGGGGCCGGGCGAGCAGGCCCGGAACGCTGACGCGTTCGTGGCGGGGCCGGGCCCGGGAGGCCGCGGGTACCTGAGAACCGCAGCTGGGAGCGCCCGCGGGCTCAGGGAGTTGGGTCATTTTGAATCCGCACGGCCCCGCCGGAACGCTTTGCTCGGCAGCCCGCGGCACTCGGGGGTCGCGGCGCCGCTCTCGGCGGGCCCGTGGCGTAGGGAAGGGCTCGGCGATAGAGACTGTGTGCGGTGATTCCACGCAGGATTTCTCTGGGAAGCGCGTCCCCTCCTGCTGTCCCGGGCGGGGTCGGTGGTGCCCCACAGGTGTACGTGCGCTGCCGCAGCAATGAGGGTTGGGCGTGTAGGGAAAGGCACAACAATTTCTGGCACCACGAATGTAAGCTCACTTGCCATTCCGAGCTTTGGAAAGACCCAGGCTTTGCCTTTTACTTTCTGTGGCTGCGGGGAATGTCAGAGCTGAGAGAGCTCAGTCTCATGTTCCCTTCCCTGTAGTGACTTGGATCTTAGAGTATTATGTTGCAAATCTGTTACACCAGTAGCTTCCGGGTTTTAGTAGCCATTCTTTAAAATGGGTGGTTTGAGTTCATGATTTTCTAAATAAAAATATAAAGCTTGAAAAGCCTTATAAAAAAACTTTACAACTTGTTTCTGGTTTTCAAGTTGAAATGTGTCATGTTTTGTTCTTTTTATGAATTATACTGTTATTTTATATTTTGGTAGTGTCTACAAAGTGATCTGGTGTCTTATAAATGCTATTTTTTTTATCTGATAATGCTGTGAATTGCTTATTTTTATGTGAATGAGACTTCTAAATACAATACTTTTTTGTTATTCTTGGTTAATATGGATATCAGATAACAATAAACGGGACGGTTCTTTATAAACCTCAAAATTGCGTGTTTCAGTAGTGTTAGTAGACCATAGAAATGCTGCTGCAGCTAGGTCATACCCTCTGAAGGAGCAAGGCAGTATACAGGGAAAGAGTTCATCTATTCAAGTCTTGTATCACTAGAATGCTAAAACTTCTGGCAAGAAGAGGTTCAAACTGGTAATTAGTTGGTGTTAGATTTATGAGAAACAGCTATCATTTGTCTTGCTCTTTCAGAAACAAGTGCCTGGATTAAATTCGTCTTGCAGACAACAGCAGTACCATGCAAGCTGTGCTTGGTGAAAGCTGTGTTTGTGTCCAGTTCAAGCTGTTCTCCTGATGTAACATCCTCTTTATGATTTGTAAAATAAACAAACGTAGATGAATGAGGCTTTAAAACATCAGATTTTAGAAATGACACTTGGTTTTGTGTTGGTCACTTCCTACTTACTGAATATATTCAGTGATGTTTTTAGAGAACGTGTTGACTCTGTTCTGCAGCAAGTGTTGGATATTTATTAGCGGGCACCTCTGGCTGGAAGCCCTGATCATAGGTGACCTGATCCTGTGACTCTCTGTGCAGACTTTTCTAAGAGAAGCACAAAAGAAAATATTAGTTGCATGTTCTTGCTCATGCTGTTCAGAAAAGCCTGGGTAGCCTGTAAAAATGGAAAATCAGCTTGTGTTCTCAGGTGAAATTTAAGGATGAAGGTAACTTTTTGAAACATCGCTTGCTGTAGTCTGTCATTTTCAGGTAATGTCCAGATGTAAATTATTAATTTTCATCTAGTACTAACGGGAGCAAGTCAGTCTTCATTTGGAGATCTAGAGCTGAGAAAAATGCACTCTTCTGGGAACTTGAAACAATTGTTTTGGGGTAGGGTGTTTCCATCGTGCCCCTTTGCATTTACCCGTATGGAACAAATGCTTTGTAACTTCACGGGTGAAAGAGTAATTTGGAAGTGGTTGCTGTGGCTTCCTGTGCTGCAATCAAAAAATAGCAGTCTGGTAAAATGCTTAGAATTTACTGGGCTATTGAGATTGCATAGCAGAAAGCAGAATTATAGTAATCTGTCATAAATTGTCCTTGTGTGTAAAGTGGTCAAGAAATCCAACATTTGTGGGTTCTGCACACCCAGTTTTTTCTGCGCAGGCATGGTAAAGATATGCTTTCATTTTTGCTTTTAGCAGGTAGTTTTGGGTTTTTTTCATGTCAGATACAGAAGGAAAGCATTAAAGGAAAATAAAGATTGCAGAGACAGACATGGATCTCATGTTTGCTGTCTTGAAAACTTGGTGTTCTAGTGAGAGGTGGGATGAAATTTGTGTGTGCTGATGTTCACAGCTGTCCAAAGTACCAAAATGTGCAGGAGATGAAGTATAGCTTTAGTCTGTTGTATAGATTGAGAACTGAAATTGTAACACTTCTAGATGCATTTTGTAAAATTGACAAGAGATCCGTGTGTTGGTTTTACTTACTATTAGACTATTGTGTTGAATAACAATTAATTACTCTTCTATTTAATAATAAAATTAAAGATTTTAATTACTTCTACTAAGTTGTATTCCTGCATCTTTTAACAGGCATAGTCTATCCAGAATTAGTTGTTGTAGGATTTGGACCCTAAATGTTATATCTTTTGGGTCCATTTTCTAAAGAAGTTATTTTCCTCCTTTCAGATTGCACAAAGTTATCAGCTTTTCAACGAATTTAAAATTTTGTCTTCACTAGTGGTTCGGATTGTTGAAGTAAATGAGTTTCCCACTGAAATTTTGTTTTCATTATCTTTGAATATATGTTTCAATAGTTGACTGGCTGCAGTGCTAGTCCTCCCAGACGTTAGTGTTCCATGAGACACTTAAAAGGTTCAGGAGAAGCTTTTTTAATACAGCAGCCTCTGACTGTAGTCTTGCATACTTTTAAAGAAAAAACAGTAAAAAATTACAGTAGAAACAAAACTTTTCCTGTTGTCATTTCTCTAGGAAGATGTTGACGTTCCCAGTAGGCGAGTTTTGATCACTGGTGCTACAGGACTTCTTGGCAGAGCTGTGTTTAAAGAATTTAATGAAAATAATTGGAACGCAGTTGGTTGTGGATACAGGAGAGCTCAGCCCAGATTTGAACATGTTAATCTTCTCGACTCTATTGCAGTTCATGACATTATCCATGATTTTCAGGTAAGTTTCTGGAGTATAAAGTGGATGGGAGGGGTACTTTATGTGTCCAGTAGTCATCTGATAGTGCTGCTAAGTTCTGGGACATGAGTGGGGCTGGTGCTTTATCAGAGTTCTGACAAAGGTGCGGCTGCATATTATACCCCACCCAGAGCAAAGGTTTGCTCTGTAGGTACAGACAGCTCTGGCCTTTGCTGTGCTTACCACAGGCAGGCTGCAGGTTTCCCTGGATGTGCCAGCACACTGGAAAGGAAAAGATACATTTGAGTTCTTGACACAGTAATGTGTCAATATGCAGTTCTGGGGAAGTGTATTCAAATATTCTGAGGAATATTTGAATACAGCAGCAGTAACTCTGTGTAGTGTGCAGTGTCCACTGGTTTTTTTCAGTCTTAGTACCAAGAGGAATATATGAAACCTGAAATACATGATCCAGGTTGCCGTTCTATAAAATAGTACATATCATGTTAATAATTTGCATATGTCAAGTAAGCTATGTACTAAATTTTTTTAGTACCCTTGGTTGTGTGAGAGATCTATCTTATATTAATATATATTTTACTTTACACAGTTAAAAAGAAAAAATCCCCACAACTTCAAAGTTGCTATAAATTTGAAGCTACTGAAGACCATAATTGCACAATTAATGATAAATGGTTTTGATGTCTTGAAACAGCAGTTTTTTGGTAAAAAGAAAGGAAAAGCTGTTTCTTGGAATGCTGTAATTAAAAATAACAATTCTATTTTTATTACTTTGTTTTGCCTGAGGGGTGTCATCATTAGAGTTAGTGTGCAAGTACCATCTCTTGACATATTGGTTGTTTAAAATTAGTCTTTAATTTCCAGCCTCATGTTATAGTGCACTGTGCTGCTGAGAGAAGGCCAGATGTTGTAGAAGGTCAACCAGATGCTGCCTCTCAGCTCAATGTGGCTGCTTCAGCGAACTTAGCAAAAGAGGCAGGTAAGGAGACCATCTCATGGATTTGGTGTCGTGTTAAAACCCTGCATCTATTTATACAGGGACATCAATACAAACAGTATAAGTGTAAATGTCACTTCTGCCATCAGTGTGCTGTTGATCTGTTTTTCATAGGAGTAGCATGCACAACTCTGTGAAAGATCCAGGAACAGGCAGAGCAGCAGGAATGAATGTGCACGGAAGATGAGACCCTTGGGAGATTGGTTTAAGGGTCTATTGGCATTTCAAAGAAGGCATGAATTAATATAAATTATCTATAAACATTTTCTTCCTAGCTGGAGTTGGAGCATTTCTGGTCTACATTAGTACAGACTATGTATTTGATGGAACAAGCCCTCCATATAAAGAGACTGATGTACCAAATCCCCTGAATTTATATGGTAAAACCAAACTGGAAGGTGAAAAGG